AGTGCTCTTCACACCGAAACCAGACGGAAGCCTGCGCATATGCATCGATTACCAAGCTCTTAACAAGCAGACCATCAAGAATAAATATCCGATACCATGAATCAATGACCTGCTTGACCAGCTTCGGGGAGCTACGGCATTTTCCAAACTGGATCTGCGGTCCGGATACTGGCAGATACGAATGGCGGACAACTCTATCCACAAAACTTGTTTCCGAACTCGGTACGGATTGTACGAGTATCTGGTAATGCCGTTCGGACTCACCAACGCACCGGCAACATTCCAAGTCGAAATGAACCACATTCTACGACCACTTTTGGACGAGTGCGTGGTGGTGTACCTGGACGACATCCTCATCTACCCGCGTGACATGAAGCAGCACGTCGAACACCTGCGACGCGTCTTCGAAATTCTTCGACGCGAACGATTCTACGTCAAACTGTCCAAGAGCGAATTCGCCCTGGAGAAGGTCCAATTCCTAGGACACATGGTGAGCCCTCAAGGAGTTCACGTCGACCCCAAGAAAATCGAAGCCGTACGTACGTGGAAGACACCCGAGAACATGAAGGAGTTGCAATAGTTTATAGGCTTCGCTAATTATTACAACAGGTTCGTGCCATAGTATGCGAAACTCGCAACACCACTCACGAATCTGCTGAAAAAGAACACGCCCTACAAATGGGAGACGAAGCACCAGGAAGCCGTGGAGCAGCTGAAACAAGCACTCACGTCCGCACCAGTACTCATCTTGCCAGATCCCGAACGTGACTACGTCATCGAAGCTGACGCCAGCGACCAGGCAGTGGGAACAGTCTTGATGCAAGACCAGGGAAATGGACTGCAACCAATCGCCTGCCTCAGTAAGAAACTGCACGAGGCAGAACTAAACTACCCGATACACGACAAAGAGGCCCTTGCTATTGTCATCGCCTTCAAAGCGTGGAGATGTTATCTCGAAGGACGAAGAACAACCGTCTACACCGACCACTACAGCCTGAAATATTTGAAAACACAACCCAACCTCTCCAGGCGGCAAGTCCGGTGGATTGACTTCCTCGAGACACACTTCCACTACGACATCGTGTACAAGCCCGGCCAAAAAAACAAAGCAGACGCCCTTATTCGGCCTGCACACGTTGCCGCTATCCGGGTTGAGGGGATGAATCCACTACTGAAGGGACTCTTCATACATGGGTACACCATCGACCCCGAAATTCCCTTGGCAGAAAAGCGACACCTACTACAGTGGGACAGTGCAATCGCGTACCGGAAGGGATCAACAAAAATCTGGGTACCCAATTACCCTCCTTTGCGCCAGTTACTACTCGAAGAATACCACGACGTCCTATATGCTGGACACTTCGGTAGCAACAAGACGCTGACCGGTATCGCGAAGCACTACTACTGGCCCCACTTGGCAGAAGATGTTCAGAAATTTGTCACCTCGTGTGATACATGTCAGCGGATGAAGAGCAGCAAGCAGAAAAAGGCGAGACTGCTACAGCCTCTTCCTGTCCCAGAACAACCATGGCAAGTGGTTAGCCTGGATTTCATTACTGGGTTACCACCTACCACCAGCGGTCATGACGCAATCCTTGTCGTCATCCACAAGTTCTCCAAAATGGGACACTTCATCCCGACACACACGACAGCACGCACCGAGGAAATACCACAACTCTTCGTTCGCTACATCATCTCACAGCATGGCATTCCAACCACACTCATCTCTGACCGAGACGCCAAGTTCACCAGCAAGTTCTGGAAGGGACTCATGTCTCTGCTCGGGACCAAACTCGCCATGTCATCCGCCTACCATCCGCAGACAAACGGACAGACCGAGCGCCTCAACCAGATTGTCGAGCAACTCCTTCGAGCAGCCTGCAAGGACGAGATCTCCAAATGGGACTTGCACCTGCCCGTACTAGAGTTTGCTTACAACAACGCTACATATGCCGCTACTGGACAGACGCCGTTCTTCCTCTGCTACGGACGCCACCCACTCACACCACAGAAGCCGACAACACCTGCAACAGACCAACCTGCACATGACTTCATCACAACCATGCATCAGCTTTGGGATCGGACCCACAAACGCCTCCTTGACATTTAGCAGCAACAGAAGCGCCAGGCCGATCGCCATCGCAACGATCACGCCATTACCGTGGGAGACCAGGTGCTCCTCGACACCCGCAACCTTGACATCCGTCATCTACCATCTAAACTTCGACCTCGCTTCTGCAGACCTTTCCTCGTTGAAGCACATGTCACTCCTGTTACCTTCCGCTTACGCCTGCCAGCTACCTGGAAGACTCACAATGCCTTCCATGTCCAACTTCTGAAGCCTTATCGGGATCCAAACACGATCTTCGTGGGACGCCAACCGCCGCCACCGCCGCCCGTCCTCGTCCAGAATGAACCCGAGTACGAGGTCGAGTCCGTGCTTGCACACCGCCGTCGTCGGAATGGCACCGTGGAGCTTCTCATTCGTTGGAAGGGTTATGATCCTTCTGAAGACAGCTGGGTACCTGCGACCGACATGGGTAACGCCCAGGTTGTCAAGCATGACTACCTTGTCAAGCAGGGTATCACTTCTACCACCCAGGTTTGAGGGGGGGAAGTGTGAGAGTACGACCCCGTTACACCACTTGACATTTACTTCTTTCCTTCCTCTTTCATTCCCTTTTTTATCTCATCTCATTTGGTTTCCTCTTCCCCATTTTCCATCATCCTTTGGTTTATCCTGCTATTATAATTATACCACCGACCAGGCTTGGGATGTACTGGCGTGCTATTTCTAGTGTAATCCTGCCATAATCCCTTAAAACCAATAGCCTCGCGTGGCTATACGCAGGGTGATTCTATATTCTAGAAGGGTCTATTTCCTTTGGATAGGATAAACCTGGTTACCTGATGTACTCTGGAAGTATAAAAGCGCCTTGTATCAATCGATAGTACAATCTTTCCTCGAGTCATTCGGTCCTGTGACAGTGCGGTAGCTCGTCTGAAGCGTGCGGAGGTGCGTGGCAAAGTCAGCGACAGTGGGGAAGGACGCAAGATCAGGGAACAGCATGGGGAGGATGAGGCGACCGGCAGAGGCAGTGGCGGGGGTGAAATAGCGCACAATGACAGCATCTAGGAAGGCCTGGGCGTTCGCTATAGTGGTGAAGCGAGGACGCCCAGACAGCGGGAGCGCACGGCTGATAACAAGCTAGGCGACAGCGTCGCGCGAGTCCTGGACGGCACGCTCAAGCGCAGCACCGGAAAAGGCCTCATGCTTAGCAGATTGGGGGCAGCAGGGAGGGCAGCAGGGGCAGGGGTGCGGGGAAGCAGGCCATCGACATGAACAGTCAGGGAGTGACCGTCCTTGCGCTGACCTGTAAGGTGATGCCGGAGGTCGACAAGCCACGCCTCAAAGTCGAGCGCCCGACCCTCTGCGTCCAGACGGAGCTGTGAGTCTGCCATCGCCACTGCTGCAGCTGCTGACGGCCGCTGACAGAGTGAGGAGGTGAGGAGGAGGAAGCAGTGGAGAGGATTGAGTGCGGTGGAGTGCGGTGGAGTGCGGTGGAGTGCGGTGGAGTGTGGTGGAGGGCGGAAGAGAGCGGTGGAGAGCGGTGGAGACAGCCGACAGGGAGGCCGGCGCTGAAGGGAGCCAGGGCCGGTGGGTGGGCGCTGGGACTCAACGGGCCGGCAAGCGGCCGAGGAAGCGAGGGCTGGCGAAACTGGAGCCGGCTGGCTGGGCAGCTGGCGGGCCGACCGGCTGACAAGGGCCGTCGGGGCACACGGGGCGGACGGGGCACAGGCAGGGCCGGCGGGGCGAGCTGGGCCAGAGGGGCGCACGGGATCGGCGGGGTCTAACTAACGGGGCCGGAAGGGCGCAAGCGGGCCGGCGGGGCGCTAAGGGGCCGGCGGGGCGAGTGGGGCCAGAGGGGCGCACAGGGCCAATGGGGCGCTAACGGGGCCGGGAGGGCACGAGCGGGCCGGTGGGGCGCTAAGGGGCCGGCGGGGCGAGTGGTGCCGGAGGGGCGCACGGGGCCGATAAGGCGCTAACGGGCCAGCGGGGCGTTGACGGCCCGTCTAGCGCTAACGGGCCGGCTAGGCACTAACGGGGCCGAAAGGCGCTAACGGGGCCAACGAGGCTCGAACGGAGCCGGGAGGGCGCTAACGGGCCGGAAGGGCACTAACGGGCCGGCGGGGCGAGCAGGGCCAGAGGGGCGCACGAGGCCGACGGGGCGCTAACGGGGCCGTGGGGGCGCGAACGAGCTGGCGGGGCGTTAATGGGTCAGCAGGGCTCACGAGGCCGACAGGGCCGACGGGGCGCTAACGGGGCCGAGAGGGCGCACGGGGCCGACGGGGTGCGAGCAAGGCTGTGAGGGTGTCGAGTGACCAGTTGGGGTTACCCTTGAGAAGATCCTCGGGGAAGGGCCACATGTGCAGAGCCTCGGGGGCTATAGGTTCACTGACCCGCTATTAACAAGCCCTTTTAACTCAGTGGTTAGTGGCTGAGTTTTTGACATGGTATCAGAGCGTTGGTGACTCGGGTTCAATTCTCAGTGCTAGCGCTGCAGAAGCGCTCGTGTCTTCCACCTATCCCAGCGAGGGGGGGTGTCGAGTGACCCGCTGGGGTTACCCTTGAGAAGATCCTCGGAGAAGGGCCACAGGTGCAGAGCATGGGGGGCTATGGGCGCACTGACCCGCTATTAACAAGCCCTTTTAACTCAGTGGTTAGTGGCTGAGTTTCTGACAGAGGGCGCATGGGGCCAACGGGGCGCTAACGGGCCTACGGGGCTAACGGGGCCGGTGGGGCGCACGGAACCGACAAGGCGCTAAGGAGCGGCTAGGAACGGGCGGCAAGGGCTAGGACGAGAGCGGAAGCGTGGGTGGGCGGGGAGGACCTAACCTAGCGCGTGATACCATCTCAGAGTAGAAAAGTTGACTAGAATGAGGCATACAGGTTGGTTTTGTTCAAATGTTTGTATCTTCTAAGAGCATGCACCTATCTAGCCTATTATAACATATACAAATATGTTTGACAAAAGATGCCCAATCCATGCACGCCAAATGCGTACGCGGTGGTTTGTTACAGCAAGAATCATATATCACATACGAACCATGAATATACTATCCTTCAAGCTGTTCATTGTACAAGCACATTCAGGTGTACCACCCTGGGGCAGGAGAGGAGCACCAAATGAGGCAGGCCCTTGTGTTCCTCCACACTGAAAGCTTCACAGTTTCCTACGAGACTGAACGAATATGAGACGGGACGAGAGCTCACTCTGCCCAGTGCATAGCTGCGCCAGCAGCTCAAGGCACCCTTCAATGATCCTCACAGGATGATGCTCACCATCACCTCGTGATTTGAGGCGCTCGGAGAACTGCTCCTCAAGCAGCTCAAGCTCCTCGCCAAAGGTCCTCTCAGGATGATCTTCGTGCTCCATAATCTCACCCACCCTGGCTGCTACCGCTGCCCTGGCTCCTCATCATCAATGCTTTCACTCGTAGGACAGGCGTTCACCACCATCACATCCACCCTTGCATCGGTACAGTACACACTTGGGCATACCATCCAGAGACCGCACAAATATGGAAAATTGTTGACAGCATGGAGCCAAGGTAAGACAGGCCCTAGCCCTAGTGCGCCTCCGCTCTGGAAGCTTCACACACTTCCTCCCTCGTACATAACTGAACGAGTCTGAAACCAGACGAGAGCTCACTATGAGCACCGCACAGCTGCACCGGCAACTCAAGGCACCTCTTAAATAATCCTTACAAATAATCCTCACAAGGTGGGCGGCCGGCAGCCAGCAGCCGCTCACAATCACCTCATGGTTTGAGGCGCTCGGAGCTCGAGTGAGACATGTGCGGCACTCTCCTCTGTGAACTCCCACTCCAGCAGCGCAAGATCCTCATCCATGGTCCTCACTGGGCTCGCACCCACCATCTTCTCGTCCACCAGCGCGGCTCCCTCTGCTCTTGCATCCCCCCCGCCCACGCCCGCCCGGAGCGCCTCCAGGTCCTGCGCCACCTGCGACATGGAGGGGCGCGAGGCCGTGGGCATTGCAGTGCAGCCCACGGCCAGCTGGACCAGGCCCGAGATGATGGCCTCAGGCACTGCTGCCATGCGCGGGTCCCCAAGACTCGATACTTTGCTCTCCGACATAAGCTCCGTTGCCTGTAAAATCGGAAGAAGGGGAAAAAAGGTCTGAAAGGCGGCGGCACGCATAGCCGCGCAAGATAGAGCTAGGGAGACAGAGGGAATGGAGGGCGAAGAAGTGAAGTGCGCACCCATTGGAGAATGGTGATGGGGTCCTCGTTGTGATCCGCATGGCAGTTGGAGCCATCGTCCTGCTTGTGTTTGGTGGTGATTACGGCTTCTCTGCCTGACAGCATCACCAGCATGAGGATGCCAAAGCTGCACACAGAGGGAGAGAAAGCAAGGCAAACCAAATGGAAAGGGGGAGGAGGTGCATGGTAACGACTTCAAAGACCTGAGGGGAGGCAGCATGGGAAGCATGGAGAAAAAAGACGGGGGGCAGGGATGGCAGGGATGACAGTGGTGGTGTTGTGCACATCCCGACCTGTAGAGATCCGTGGCGGTGGTGGCGTTGTGCGTTCTGATGTACGCCGGGTCCATGTAGCCCACCGTGCCAAGCAGTCGTGTGGAATGCAAGCCCGTGACGTCCCCTGCTCGCACCAGCCCAAAGTCTGCCACCTTGGGCTGGGAGGCAAGACGAGGGAAAATAGGAACATTGCTGAGAGCAATCAGATAGAAAAACACACTGCCATGCTATGTAGAAGTTGAACGTTCTAAGAAGTGTTTATTCCATGCATGTTGTTCAAATGAAGTCAGCCTCATCGCCCCACCTGTGTATGTGGCACAAGCCCAACCATATGGGCTGCCAGCCTCACCCATCAATCACCACCCCTGCCTCACCTGCATGTTTTCATCAATGAGGATATTGGGTGGCTTGATGTCGCGATGCACCATGCCAAACTTGTGCAGGTACTCCAACCCGCGCGCTACCCCTACCAAGATGTCCAGCCGCTGCTGCAGGGTCAGGACCGCAGGGGCGTCTGGTGGTAGTGGCAGGTGGGTGAGGAGGAGACATAGTCAAAGTTGGCAGCTCAAAGCAACGGCGTACAAGCTCCAGTCATGATGCCTAGCCCAAACACCAACCACCAACAATACACGGCGTCGCTGATCCTCGTAAATTACAGTAGTAGGATGGAATTACCTGGCCCCATCCACCTCTTCAGGTCGCCATTGGCGATGAACTCGTAGACGAGAACGTTCTCCACGCGAGTGTTCACATCGCCGCCCACTGCAAACCCCAACAGCCGCACCAGATTCGGGTGGTGCTTCGACGCCATCTGGCCCACCTGCAGCAGACAGACAAGGAGGGCAGAGGATATGGAGCTGGTCTGCCAGTGATGGTTGGGATGTGTTTTGTTTTTGAAAATTAAGAAAAAGAGAAAGAAAACACAGTCATGCCCCTTCATCTCCCTATCAGACGAGACGACTGTTCACATTCTCCAACTTCCCATCGTCAAAATGACGGAACAGCTGCCACGTTGTCCCACCCACCCACCCACCCCAAACACTGGCCCTTCTGCCCTTCCGCCCTACCACCCCACTGCCAACCAACGCCCGCTCTCCTCCAAACGAGACTTTTGCGTTGACTCAGAGCTCCCAACCCCCAACTTCCACCCACTTCACTCCTTCACGCCCCATGCACCTCCCGCCTGAAGTCGGTGGTGATCGATTTGGCGCGCTTCACAGCCCACAGCGTGGTGCCATCGAGGGGCGACACGCCCTTGTACACTTCGCCAAAGCCCCCCGAACCCAGCAGGTTGCACTCGGCCCAGTCGCCTGTGGCGGTGGTGACCACGTCGAGGGGGAACTGCTGGCAGGCCGTGGGGGCGGCGCCCATGCCCGGGGCAGACGAGGCTGCCTCTAGCAGTGAGCAGCGCCGGGGATGGTGGGAGAGAGTGAGGGAGGAGGGTGGGGGGGAGGGAGGGAGGTAGATGGGGAGGGCACAAGTGAAGAGGGGTGTAAGCTACAGAAAGGAGGAGATAGGCTTGCCGTGTCACAGAATGGTTGCTAAATTGAGATAGAGTGGTTATTTTCTGAAGAAAGGCCTACAGTTTCAGCTTGAGAGTATCTCAGGTCAGAAGCGGAAATACGAGTAACGGGAAACATGTAGGGGTAGCGTTTGTTGGACTCAATCTGTGTCCCAGGCCCCCTTGGTACCCTTCTTCGCATCAATGAGAAGAGCGCTTGAGAGATGCAAAAGCATCGAATGATAGACAGACCTCCAACGGGCGTGGCGTGTGGCTTTCGGCGGCGCATGAGAGCCCACCAAACCGCAGCCAGCAGCAGCAGCAGCAGCAGGACGGCTGCCACCACAATGCCAATGATATCTGCTGTGGACAGGCGGGACTGGGCGGTTGCAGTGGCGGCAGTGGCTGGAGGGGGTGGGGCTGGTTGCACATGGGTACACACTCATGATTCACACTCATGGGAGCACACACACAAACACACACACACACACAGACACACACACACACACGCACACGCGCACGCAGATACACATACGCACACACACATCCGCACACACGCACGCAGAGAAACCCGGATGTGAATACGTTCACAGAATTCTAATCCGCCATTTTTGCCTGCAGGGCTAAAGAAGGGCAGTGAAGCAGAGATAGCATGCAGACTGACACATGAAATAGTTCACACAGTGCAGCTGCATGCATGGGCAGCAGCTGGCCTTGTCAGTCATTCATGGGTTTGCCAACTTGATGTCGCCTTGCATTGCCTGCCATTGACCTGCATTGACTGCCATTGACCTGCATTGTCTGCCATTGACCTCCATTGACTGCCATTGACCTGCATTGACTCGCATTGACCTGCATTGACTGGCAACCTGCATTGGCTGCCATTGACCTGCACGGCGCACCTGCAGCAGCAGAAGAGCACGAGGAGCAGAAGGAGGGGCACTGGAGGCAGAAGGCAGAGGCACTCGACTGGGAGACCACACAGGTGGAGGCATCCAGAGGGCAGGCGAGCGATGTGGCGGACACGTTGCTGGTGGGTGGGGGATGTGGAAAGGGGGTGGGAGAGAGTGTAGTGTGGTGAGGGAGGTTAAGGGATGAGCTGTGAGTGCAATGGGTGTGCATGCACGAGTGTGAGGCGAGGTAGGCAACACACGAGTGTGAGGCGACGTAGGCAACATGTCAGGCACGAGTGCGGGATGGAAGCGGCAGATGCAACGGAGTGCAAATCTAAGGGGTAGAAGAAACACAACACAGAAGTCAACAGAGCACAGATATCAGCATAGAACAGAAGTCCACACACACAGCACCCACAGGTACGTGAGCTGCTGCAGGCTGCCTAGGTTAGCAGGCAGGGAGCCGGCGAAATTGTTGCGGCTCAAGTCACTGCATTGACAGCGAAATGATGATGGTGATGGTGATGGTGGTGGTGATGGTGGTGGTGATGGTGATGGTGATGGTGATGGTGATGGTGATGATGATGATGATGATGATGGTGATGGTGGTGGTGATGGTGATGATGATGGTGATGGTGGTGGTGATGGTGATGATGATGATGATGATGATGGTGATGGTGATGGTGATGATGATGATCATGGTGGTGGTGATGGTGATGGTGATGATGATGATGATGATGGTGATGGTGATGGTGGTGGTGCTGGTGATGATGATGGTGATGGTGGTGGTGATGGTGATGATGATGATGATGGTGATGGTGATGGTGGTGGTGGTGGTGGTGATGATGATGGTGATGGTGATGGTGGTGGTGATGGTGATGATGATGGTGATGGTGGTGGTGATGGTGATGATGGTGGTGGTGGTGGTGGTGATGGTGATGGTGATGGTGATGGTGATGGTGATGGTGATGGTGATGGTGATGGTGGTGGTGGTGGTGATGATGATGATGATGATGATGGTGATGATGATGGTGATGATGACAGTGACAGACAGGCAACAAAAACACCCAAGGGACAGGCATGTGGATGGTGAGGTGTGGTATACGAATGAGAGTCAGCCGCACCGATTGGGTGATGATGGCAGGCACAATCTGCTGCCACAAGACGTACATTGCACACTGCTGCGCAGGAAGCACTGAGGGAAAGGAGTAGCACTCACAGGTGTGCTAGAGGGGCGAGGAGAGCACTCACAGCTTCTCTAGAGTGGCCATCCGCGTGATCCAGGATGGCAGCAGTCCGTTCAACTTGTTGTCTCCCAGATCCCTGTGCGCCACGTAGGCAAACGAGCAAGCAGGCAAACGAGCAAGCAGGCATGCAAGCAACCATAATACACACAGGGAAGAACCGGCACACAATGCATGCATACATGCATACATGCAGGCAAGCATGTGATGGGCATGCATGCTGCAGCCCACACAGAACTGAATACAGCTCGGCCTGCAATACAAGCCAAGGATTAGAGATTGGTACAGCTTGGTGCAGAAATAGAAACAGAAACATGGCACAGGGCACCGCGGCCTGCATACTGAAGCCCATACAGACTAGAGCCAAGAGGCACGCATGGCTGACATGGCATGGGTCATGCGGGATGGGTAATGTGGAACGGCTTAGGTGGGACGGGTAATGTGGAATGGGTATTTTGGGATGGGTAATTGGGCATTGGTAGTGTGGCATGGGTAGCGTGGCAAGGGTTGCATGACTACAAGTAGGCACACATGCATAGAACACTATGTCATCCCTCACCCATCACAGAGCGTTTTCGACACACACACGCATGCATGGAATGCGATGGACGCCCATGCGATGGACGCCCATGCCATGGGGCACCATGGAAGAAGCAAGGCGAGGCTTAGTTGCTACAAATGCTCTGGCAGATGTGCGTTTAGCGTTCAAACGCCAAACACACCCAAGAACGCAAACGCTCGCTGGGAAAAAATTTGGGCTGCCCCCCCGAAAAAAGCATGATTTTTTTTTCCGCGAAATTGAGACTTGGCGAATTCAGCGCGACATTTGCCGAGTCCCAACTCCCAACCCAACCATCTCGTCAATATTCACCTCCCAACCAACTCCCCCCGCCTCAACCGCACTCCACACATCGTCAAATAGAACGTCCATACCTTCCTCCTCACATCTCCTACTCGCACGCAAAGTCCCATTTTCGTCCCCTGGCAAAACCGCTTGCCCTAATTGCCGCGAAGCCTCTATCCCATCCCACGCAATACCTTAACTTGCTGGCAGGACCCCCATGTTTCATCCCTCCCCCACAGGAGATTTTTACCCCTGCCCCGGCAAAAATTTTAGGACTGCCCGGGCAAGCGTTCAAACACCAAACGCGTTTGTAGCAACTAAGAGGCGAGGTGGTCAAGGTAAGCGCACAGTATAGTGAAGGCCACGAGAACCAAGTCCCGCAGTGAAATGGTTGGCTAACAGACGGAAGACACTCTGAGTGCGAGAGGTACTGGTCAGCACTGCAGCCTCCCTCCCTCACAGTGTTGTGATGCGCTCCATGTTGCCTATGCCTTGGGGGATGCTGCCTGTGAACTGGTTGCTGAATAGAGACATACAACACAGGCAAACCAGCCAGCATATGCGCACACCATACCACACCACACCACACCACACAGCCTGGCCTGTCCAGCAGAGTGGCAGAAAACAGCGGGCTTTTGAGGCCCTTTCACAGGCAGCCTCCTTCCTTTCTCAAGGATTTTGAGAGGTTTCCAAAGAAAGAGAGAGAGAGCGAGAGAGCCTGCAGGTTGTTAGACTAGGGCAGCGGGAGACGTGACAGGGCAGGGTGTTGTGCGCACACATGTGCTCACAGGATTTCCAGTTGGGTGAGGCTGCCGATGGACTCTGGGATGGTGCCGCTGAGCTGGTTCTGCCACACAGAGCTGCAATAAACAAAAAGAGACAGAGGGAGAATACGGCAGGAGACTTACCTGAGTTAAGGCACCTGTTTGTACCCACCCTGCATGCCTAGCCTGTACCCAGGATTGCCCATCAACGAAGGACCGTTTGAGGGAGAATACGGCTGATACTAAAGGACCGGTTGAGAGAGAAGGAAAAAGGCGGGGGGAGAGAGGGAGGTGAAAGCAGATGTGTCATGGAGATGGGCGCAAATTTCATCGATTTGTGCGTGTGCTTGATGTGGAAATGCACGCCACAAGGCATGGGCGGCACATGATGGCAGCGGGAAGGGAAGGAGCTTACAAGACGTTGAGGTTGATAACGCTGCCAAGTGATTCTGGCATGGATCCGCTGATCCGGTTGCCCACCAGGCTTCTGCAATGCACCAGACGCAGGGCGGCATGCACGGGCATGCGGGTGGGCCCCGCAGGCAGGCAGGCAGGGATGCAGGCACGTGTGCCATGACTTGAGACCAACTTGAGGAGTTGGTTCTGGAAAGTTCTAGCTATATGGGGAAGGGGGGTGGTGAGTACATACACGAGTGCTGGGAAAGTTGCTCGTTGTATGTGTGTGCATGTGCCTTTATGTGTGTGTGCGTGCGTGCGTGTGTGCGTGTGTGCGTGTGAATGTATGTGTGTGTGTTTTTGCTCGCGAGAGCACGCTTGCATGCACGCACATTGGCACCACAGAAAATCAGAACGCAGCAGGGGTTAGAAGGGGAGGGGAGGAGGAATCCGCACATGTAACACGTAGTTCATATGCGACAGTGCGGCAGTGTGACATCCGCAGACAGTGTGCTAGCCATCACTCACAGAGATGAGCAGCAGCAGTGACAGAACAAACACAAGGTGAAAGGAAAGGGAAGGGAAGGAGGAATCCGCACACGTAGTTCAGTCTGATGTGGCCAGGTATCCATGATGGAAAGGGACCTGTTAAGTCCATGTAGCTGAGTCCCCTGCATGCACACAGACGCTCTCTCTTACACACATACACACACAAGCACGTGCAAGCGCGCACGCAAACAGTATCCCCCCCCTCTCCCACCCCAATAAACATGCTTGCTCACCCCTTTCTCAAACCCCACCCTACACCCCTCCCACCCCCTTCCACTCCTTCAAACGCATGCATGCACGCACACGCACACAACAGACCCAAAGGACACACTTAGAGAAGTGCATGCATGCATGATGCGTCCTCCATCTCGACTCCATCGGAGGGAAGAGAATGAGCAGGTGGGAGGGACGTGTGGGTGGTGATTGCATGGCATGGAGTCGGTGGGTGGACTGGAGCGCGGCATGGGAGGTTTGATTTGAGAGGTGGAGTGGGGCAGCAGCGCATAGCATAGTGCATGTATGAGACAAGAGAGCGCAGTGCAAGGGTAAGAGGGGAGGAGAGACGACGCACAGCACCACAATATCGGAGAGGCTCGACATGGCATAGTGCATGTATGAGGCAAGAGAACGCGGTGCATGCAAGGGTGAGGAGGAGGGATGAGACGCACAGCACCGTGAGACTGGTGAGGCTCGAGATGGCCTGGGGAATGGACCCTGTAATGCTGTTGTAGCTCAGATCCCTGCCCCCACCCACCGGTTAACAGCCAACGAGACAACAGTTAAAGAGTCAAGAGTCAAAGAGTCAACAGTCATCGGTCAACAGGCGACACCAGTCAAACATGCCATGCCATGGCGGTGACCCGACACACATGTGTGAGACACAAGCGAGGGTGGCGTGGAAGTGCACGAGCAGCAGCTCGCAGGGCCCGAGAAGCCGTACAGAGCACTGGAGAGATGTTGTATGTGATTTGATTTCATAGGATGCTTCCGCAGGACAATTCACCCTACCATGCCCTGCCATCACTAAGGCATGCTCTGCCATCACAAAGCCATGTCCGGCGATCACAAAGCCATGTCCTACCACTCACAAGTGCTGCAAGCGCACTAGGCTAGAGAGGCCATCTGGGATGGAACCATTGAGGTCGGTTTTTGCAATACGGCTGCGAGGGGGGACGGGAGGGGATGGTGGGAGGGAGGGGGAACGGCAGAGAGGTTACTGGGAGTGAAGATGGGCAGTGGAGTGGAGTATTTTAAGTGAAGCAGGCATGCCGACAGACTCACACTCTTTTGATAGAATGGCATTCAACAATGGCATGGCATGGCATTGCATGCAATGGCATGGTACTGTAGCACAGCAAATGGAACAGTAGCACGGCATGGCGTACAGATATGTGAGGGTGGTGAGCTCGCCGAGGACACTGGGTACAGGGCCGTTGAGAGGCTGCTCAGTCACGTGCCTGGCGGGATGGAGGGAGGGAGGGAGGGAGGGAGGGAGGGAGGGATGGGAGGGATGGGAGGGAGGGGAGGGATGGAGGGAGGGATGGGGACATGGGCATGGCATGGGGCATAGGATTTGGGTCATGGGCTGGGGCATGTGTCACACGGCATGGGTAGTGGGGCGCGACCAGATGGCAGGCAGAAAGCAAGCTCATGCCCTCCCTCACTTTCTCCCTCTAACGGCCACATCCATGCCCCCCGCCCGTTTTCCCCTCCCCCCACCTCTGAACTTCCTCCCCCCCTTTCCCCCCCCTCTCCCCCCCCCCTCCTCTCCGCCTTCCCCGCGCCCCCAAAGCACCGCTCTCACTCACACACTAACGACCGAACCATCGGCGTCGCACTGGACGCCATGCACTGCGGCACAGTCGCAAACCGCGCCAGACACTGTGGCGCAGACTTTTGAGTCGCCTCAAAAGTCACCCCCAATGCACCGCTCTCACTCACTCACATGCTAACGATTGAGCCGTCAGCGTCGCACTGGACGCCATACACTGTGGCGCAGTCGCAATCCGCGCCAGGCACTGCGGTGCAGTTCCCCGCCGTGGCCCACCCGGGCAGCTGCACCGCCCATTGCTGCTGGCACTCCCTCAGCACCGCCGCTGGGGGGACAACGGGGGACGCAGAGGGGTCATGTTGCGCGCGCACAGAGGAGGGCGAGGGGGGGGTGGGGGAGAGGTGCAAGTGTGAATGGAAGGGGAAGCAGGAAAGGGGAGGAGGGGGGGGTGGGGGGGGAGAGATTGGGGAGACAGAGGGGGTAGGATGGGGAAGTCTGGGATGGTTGCTATGGCTTCAACGAGCCTGATGCAGTACAACGGATGGGAGGCACAGTGCGACGGATTAGGAAAGGGCCTTCTCTCGCCCTCGTCCCATCCCAATAAACACAGGGTCGATCAACTCCACCGACTCCCTACTGGGCGGCAAGACCGTTGCGACGTGGAGGCGACAATGCTCAAGGACCCAGTGAGGCGACGTTGACTGGATACTAGAGGTTACCCAGAAAGCGGACGGCCCCTCTCCCTCGGCCCCTCTCCCTCGGCCCAGACGGGTCCCGCACCCACCATGGCTGCACCGACGCAACACCGAGGGAGGGTTACCCTATGATGCCCACAATGCCACAACACCATGGGCGCGGCACCCGCCCATGTAGCGGGCTGGGCCAACACCCCCCCTACGTACCAACCAGCCGAGTACCCTGGGTCCCCTCCCGTCTACTCTACTGCCGCATAGGATCTCGGCATATAAGGTTTGTTTTGAGACGTCTCAAACCAAACCTTATATCACGAGTACCCTGGGTCCCGCCTACACTACTGCCGCATAGGATCTCGGGATAGAGCCCCGATCATCTGGGGAGTGCATCATCCGCACGCAATTAGCGCTACAATGCCGACGCGTGTTTTGTAACGATACTAACAAAACACACTCCGCGCCGAAGTGCAGAGAGCGGCGGCTACAATGCGAACCTCAAGGACGTGAATGCCTAGTAGAGTCACCTTTCGAGAATTCCCGAAATGTTACATTCCTCCAGAAGCTTACGGGCGTCTCAGGCGGACAGCTTACGGGCGTTTCGGAACCTGACAGCTGACATGATCAACCTCAAGAACGTGAATTCATAGTAGAGTCATTCCTCTCTAGAAGCTTACGGGCGTCTCGGGCTGACAGCTGACAGCTGCGCTGGCAGACAGCTGACAGCAGACATGATCAAACCAGCGACGCGGCGATTGACCGACATTGCGCCATACTGACCTACGTAACAGATTTACGGGCGAAACCGACCTTGCGCCGGATTGAGATTCACGGCAGCCGTGCTAGCCGTTAGAGGCCACGAAAACGCAAACGCTGCTACGAGGAGTGCGACGACGCCGCGGCGATGCGACCGGTCCATTGTCGATTATCGATCGCGTTTCGCCTACCAATTAGGTTTACTCGACTGAATCAACCCCCCCCCCGTGGATAAGGGTGTCCATCTGTCCGTGCATTCTCCTCTCCTCTCCTCCTCGCCTCTCTCCATGGAGCAGTTCCCGTTGCTAAGGCCTCCTGAGTGAGAGTTAGGGCGCTTTCAAAGGGATTTGTTTCGTTTTTGGTTTCTGGTGCTGCTCGTCGTGCTGCAGCTTTCTACAGGTTCGGCGTGTAAAGAATGGAAATTCCTTGCACTACCCCCCCCCCCCCCCCCCCCCTTTCTAAACGAGGCCGCGGGCATCGGAAACATTCCGACGCTGATAATACGCTGTATGAATCGGGTATTACTCTATATCAGCGAGGTGGCACCCAGCTCTCATCCTCAGACGTCCGATCGCGCCATCTGACAAGAAAATCCACCATTCTAAGGTTCAGCTGCGTCGTAACGCGATGGCCCATAATCTTTAAAGCCACGGACCCAAGTTTACCAACTGTAAAACATTTGGTTGGGACTAAAACTACTGATTGGCCAGCGAGCTATAGGCGCCAGTGCAATCGCCTGCGGGCGTTGCAATTTACGCACCCTCACGACACAAAACCTGGTTTTTCCCAACCAACTGTAAAACACTTGCCCCAGGTTCTAGAAACTTGGGTCCCTGGCTTTAATTGTGAAGGCTGGCCCAACTTGAAAGAGGGCTCCCTCTGAGCGACTCAAGTTGGAAACCAGCTTCAACAAATAACTGTTCCAAAATGGCAGGGGTAGGCAGATCGGAATTTCAGCTCAAAGCTGATTGGGTCCCGCCAAAATGTTGATCGCAGGGCGAAATGAGCGACACGCAAATCTGAAAACGAATCCTTTGTTCAAATTATATAAGTTATAATTTAATATAGGCTTGGTAGGTTGTTACTGAACCTTTCTGTAGGGGGTACAAACCCCTCCTTGTACTCCTCTCTCTCTTCGTAATCCAACTCTCTTCTCTCTCGACACTCTCGTCCAGCTCCTAGCTAAACCCCGCCGCCACATTCATGGCGGCCTTGTTCCTGCCTAGTATCCTAGCCTAGAGCTACTTTAACATGGTATCAGAGCAAGCCGTTTCCGGTCCTGCCTTCCACGCTTCCGCCTCGTCCTTGTCTTACGTTTCACTTCGTACCATGCCGCTGATGGCGGCCCTTCGTTTTCCTGCCGCCGTGGCGGCCTTGCCTTTCCGTGCTGCCGTGGCGACTTCTCTGAGATGCCGCGGCGGCTTAGTCGAGCTACAGTCGCACCTCTGCCTCGCCGCCGCGGCATCGACGTCGCGCTGTGGCGGCGTCTTTTGGCTGCCGTGGTGGCGTCATCGGGCGACAGCCGGCCGCGCATCGTCAATGGTGCCGCCGGACATGCCGCCCGCTCTGCAGCCGCCGGCGTGATTCTGGACTACGCCCCGCGCCCCTCTCCCCCCCCCCCCCCCCTCCCCCCTCCTTCCCCTGCTTCCCCCCCCATCCTTGCTGCAGCCAACGACTGCCTCATGCGGGCCCTCCCCACCCACTGCCGAGGTGACTGGACATGCCGCCGAGAGGGCGGGGGCCGCTGCACCAGCCGCTGACGTCCAAGCCGCCGCTGCCGTTGCTGTTGCCGCGGGCCGGGCGCCGCCGCACGCCGCCACCGGCGCCGCTGTCGTCAATGTCGCTGCTGCCGCCATAGCCATCCCACGGGCCGTGGGAGCTGCCCGCTTCTGGAGTCGTTGTGTCTCCTACTGGGAATGGGGGTGCTGGGCTAGGGGGTGTGGGTGTGGGGGTGTGAGTGGGCTTGACACTACCAAGCCTAGGGGGTGTGTTCAAATTATATAAGTTATAATTTAATATAGGCTTGGTAGGTTGTTACTGAACCTTTCTGTAGGGGGTACAAACCCCTCCTTGTACTCCTCTCTCTTCCTAATCCAACTCTCTTCTCTCTCGACACTCTCGTCCAGCTCCTAGCTAAACCCCGCCGCCACATTCATGGCGGCCTTGTTCCTGCCTAGTATCCTAGCCTAGAGCTACTTTAACATCCTTGTCAGGGGTCGCAGCTTGAGCAAAACCGGGTAATTACCCGACCCGCCCGGTTTTGCTATACCCGACATCGGGTCGGGTAATTTCGGGTCGGGTACGGGTCGGGTATTACATGCCGGACCAATACCCGGACCCAGTTTCCCTGTGGCGGGTGTTTTATACCCGCCAGGCGGGTCCGGGTATACCCGACCCGACATAGTTTAAAGGCGGGTAATGCTACCCGCCCACTCAAGAAGGCCTAAACGAGGTGTTTTTTTAACACAAAATGTCTATTACTACTCATCTAAATGTCTCCTAGAGTTGAGATAGCACTATGGCTTTGAGAAAAAAAAAATCCACGCATTTATGTGGCTTTGTTGCCACCACCACGATACTCCTTACTTGTGTAGCTTGTTCGGGTTCGGTATTTATGGGGTGAAAATATACGTACTAGGAATAAAATGCACGCATTTCTCTCTAAGTCTGTTCACAATCATTTGACAAGCATGATGCCATGTCTGCATGGCCCTAGAGCTCAATGCTGGGTCCGGGCATGGCACAAGCAAGGACACGAATGTACGTCATACGAAAAACTTCCCATAGGGGCTAACCCTGTACCCACGCCTCACAACCCCTCGTCGTCACCCTCAAGGCACAGCCCCCCCATGGCCCGATCCAGCGTCGCCAGTGGGAGGCTGCCGTCGGCGCGCTGTTCCATCCATGACTTGAGAGTCATGGATGCACGCACCTGAGCAGTGCTCAGGCGGTGACGCTGCCAGGTGACCACGTTCTGCCCCTGGCTGAACGCCCGCTCGCTCGGTGCCGAGGTTGCAGGGATGGCAAGGTAGTCTCGTGCCATCGCCTGCAACCCCGGGTACGACGAGCGCGCGCGCCACCAAGCGAGCGGGCACCCGTCCATGTCCAAGCGCGCCTCCTGCAGGTACCTCTGAACCTCGTCCGGCGCGGCCACTCCCGTTCTCGCCTCCACCTCTGCCATCGCCGAGCCGAGCATGTCAAACAAGCGCCCCCCACCTCGGGCTTTGGCAACACCCCTCCCCCCCTCGACCTGCGCTCCCCCTGTGCTCGTCCCCTCCTGGACCCCGTCCACCGCACGCCTGCTCTGCTCGTCCAGGTAAGACTGCAAGCGCGCCCTGACCCATGTCACCACCTGCTCCAATGTGACGTCGCGCACTGCCCTACGCCCCTCAGCGGCCTCTCCCGCTAGCTCAAAGTGGGCCCCCTCCCACCGCTCGAGTTGGAAGTAGAGCTGCTTGATCCTGGGGTCCAAAAATGTCGCCACTGCCAGCTCCATGCTGATGCCGTACACATACTTCTTCAGTACCTTTAGAGCTGCCTCCGACAACAGCTTGCACAGCTCCCCGGTACTGGGGTCGTGGTAGAGACGCTCAAGCTCATCCATGAGCAAGTTGTACTGTGGCACCACTGATGCGGCAGTGGGGTACAACGACCCCTCTGCCGCAGTAGTGATGTCATGGAAGGGCTTGAGGAATTCCACCAGAACCCTCAGAGCGTCCCAGTGCGCGTCTGCGAGGCGGACACGCGCAGCCTGTTCGCGCGTCCGCTTGTCGCGTGCCGACTGTGGAATGGGGGATTTTGAGGAACACAACGTAGCGGAGGGGGCAAATAATGTTTGGGGAGGGTAATACGCATGGGCGAACTTGGGAGACGGTTTGCATTTGAATGAGGAAAAGAATGCGCGCGAATGATGGCAAAGCTATAGTTTGGGAACCCCACCTCGAGCCCTGAGAAGTACAGCAGAATAGGATCTTTCAGCTTCAGGAAGCGCTCCACCATCTCGAAGGACGACCCCCATCGCGTGGGGGTGTCGCTGATGAAGCGGAGAACGTGGCCGCCCTGACCCGCCAGCCACAGCTGCTCGTCCTCGAACGCGTCCGAGTGCGCGTCGTGCTCCACCCAATGAACGACGCAATATCCCGCATGCGCTTGAGCGGCTCGAGGACTGCTGGGACACCAAGTGCCTTCTGGACCGCGAGGTTCAGGATGTGCGCCAGACACCTGAAGGGGGAAAGTCCGTGGCATGGCATGGCATGGCATGGCATGGCATGGCATGGCATGTCTTAGCATGGCATGGCATGGCATGGCAGGGCATGGCATGGCATGGCATTGCATGGCATACAGCACGCACTTGAAGAAGAAGCCAGCGTTCAGCACTGCTGTGACGGCAAGGAAAGCGTCTTGCGCCGAGCTCGACCAAGTGTCCGTGGTGAGGGAGACCTTCCCCACTGCACCATCACCAACAATGTCTTGCAGTTGGCGCTCGCGCGCGGCATCGCCCTGCACGAGCATGTCGCGAGCGAGGCGGAAACGGGAGCCGAGCAGTTCTGCAGCGGGAGGATTGAGGAGGCGGGTGTAGCGGCGGAACTAGGGAAGGGAGGGAAGGGAATGGGGGGGGGGGGAGAGGAGATGGACGCGTGCAGAAGTGCTGCTCTACATGGTTGGGGTGAGAATCCATAGCGACACGTGGGAGAGTGATAATGCGCAGAGGTGAACTGGCGCAAAAACGTTAGATGCTTATCTCTGTCAGTTCTTACCGAGGGGCGGTCGACCAGGCGGAAAGGAAGGTCCGCGACTGCGAACAGCTCGACAAGAGCGTGGCGCAGACGCTCCTGCGTGACGCAACGACCGAAGAACTGAGGGATCTGCCGTTGACCCGCCTCGACACCCCCACCCGAACCGCCCGTGCCCGCACCAGGGATGTCGGGGTATGCGTCAGCGTGCTCCCACGGGTCTGGTCCGCCTGGCACCCCCGGGTACCCCTTCGCCGGAAAATCCAACCCCGGCTTCTTGTTGGCATCAGTGAACATGCGATACCAGATCTAGAGGTGAGGCATGTGGAACGAGCGCATGTGCTTCCACGCCGAACCAGTGCTGCTCTCACCCCAATCGATCGGCACCTCGCATACCTTGCAACATCGCGCCCCATCCTCCCCCTCTGCCTGAAAGAACATCCCCTGCATAAGCTCAGGGACAGTACCCCAGTATCCGACTGTCACCTGAGAGCTGTCGCTCGCTCGCGACCGCTTATGCTGTCCACCCGTGCCCCCTCCCCCCACACGTGGGATTTCTGGCCGCCCCGGCGCAGGCGTACCACACTCCGCATGACCCCCCTCCCCCACGCCCTCAGCATCCCCAAAGCGCTCTGCATCCCCACCACCA